TACATAGATATGTATGTATGAGTGTTGGCAAATATGCGCATTTAGATTTATTTTTAACTTACATTCATTGTGATGTATTACATTGTGATCATATTGCATGGACAGCGAACGCTTCTCCCTCGCCTCTTCTTGCATGAATAGATGCTCGCACGCTTCCATGGCGAATTTCTTCATCTTCTCAAGCGAACAATAGGCATTGCTTTTGCCCATAAAGCCACAAGCGATAATGATTGTGATGAGCAGTAATCGGAGCTGAGAAAATAAATAAGATAAAAAAAATAAATAATAAATAAATGATGTGCTTTTTTGTATAATTTTATGTATGTTTTTATTTAAAGCTAGTTTTATTAATTTTCACTAAACTTAATTACATAAAACTTTAATTTTTAATAACTGTAGAACTGATATACAGCATTACAAAAAGCTGGTTGATAATGTAAATATGTAAGCTACATAAAAACATTTGCGTTCAAATTTGGCCATTATAAGTTACGTATACGCTAGCGCGTACCAGAAGCCTGCATAGAAACAAAAGACTTAAGGCGCGAACACCAAAACGCAGGCGTACAAAAACGAATCCTCGCCTGAACTATTTTACGATATATTTACATAGCTCATTTGTTTTAATCCCTATGCTGTATTCATTAAGTATATACATATGTATGACAAAAAATAACCATTCATATAAAGCACATTTTTAAAGTACAGGAAAAGGATTAAAACTTTATATGTACATAAGATACCAAAGCAGTTTGATAAGTTAGTGACTTTTTGAATAAAATGGATTTTTTCTGTAAAAAACGTTTAGTTCAATATTTTGCAATTACTGCATGCCTTTCGAATAGGAGATTTTTTAAAGCTTCTCAAAATGGGTGTGGCTTAACCCTTACCAGATCAAGTGGGGAACATGTTTCTAAACGAGTTTCTTCACTCATAGAAAAATTGTGTGAATTGCTACTTAAAATTTATATACTTTTAAAAAACATAAATTTTGTAAAAAGAAACAAAATTGTAGAAAAAAAAATTAAAAAATATTCATAATTTTTTGTAAACATGAAAATAAATTTTTAGAAAAAAATTACATTTTAGAAAAATGTTAAATTTCAGAAGCTTATACGTCTTTAAAAAAAAAAAAGTAATTTTCAGAGAGAAAAAATTTTTTGCAAAAAACTAAATAGAAAGAAAAAATATTTTAATTTAAAAGGTACACCTTTTCCAAAAATTTTTGTTGCCAGCAATGAATATTTTAGGGAAGAAAATCATTTGATTAATTGAAGAAATACAATTTTTACCAAAATTAGAAAAATTTAAAAAATATTTTTAGAGAAGAAAATCCTTTAATTAATTAAGTTAAAAAAAAATCTCTCTGAAAATTATTTTTTTTTTAAAAACGTGTAAGCTTCTGAAATTTAATAGTCATTGAATTACTTAAATGGTTTTCTTCTCTAAAAATATTTTTTTCCAATTTTCAGAAAATTTTTCTAATTTCGGTAAAATATTCTATTTCTTTATGTTAAAAATAGCTAAATAAAATGAGGCACATTATGAAAGCAGATAAATTATAACTGTTTCACGTGATATTTTTAACAAAAGAAAAAAAATCATAGGCCTTTTAATGAAATAAGAAGAGGTACTCGGTTCGTCGTGTTTAGTTTTAATTATAGGCTTAAGGTCTAGAAGGGGTTAACAGTGCAAGGAGTTGTAAAGAGGACAGCAAAATAAAAAGAACAAGCAGGCTACTAGATATTTTTTAGTCGAAACTAAAGCGAACAAACCCCACAGGTGTAGGGTGGTAACAACAAGCGCGCTTTGTCGCCTTATCTTCTTCAAGGCAGTATGTAAATGTGTAATGGGTTTTTTCGAACATTGTAATAGCTCAGTATACATCAAGAATGCCACCTCGGGGATGCTCTCGATAATATCAAGAACGGGCCTTGGTAATGAAAGCATGCCTCTCCCCTACCTGCCATGTACATAGTCCACCCCTCCACTTATGTGATTTTGGCCTCAAGAGCTGAAAGCCTTTGTCAGCATTTCCTATGGATAATTACAAAACTCAAAAGAAAAAAATGTTATATTCAACTATTGTCTCTTTCGGCATCGCTCTTGGTTCAGAGTATTGTCATTGTTGTTATACTAACATACTTATATGCATCTGAGACTTTTCAATCGGTCGCAATATAATTAAAAATATGTTATTAGTTTCGAGTCTCGTGACTCATTGTTCTCAAGTTTTGTCTTTCAAGTGAGAACGACGTGCAAGCAAAAAGTATATTTTCAGCAGTTTTCGCCACATTTTCATATGTATTGCATTTCATTGCATTATCATGACCATAATAGTTCAGAGGCTGTAGAAAGCAGCCATGACGAGTAAGCAGCTAAATGCTTTAGAAATCCTCATCACCATGAAATCGATCCAGCCAAGCTACGATGCTTTGTATGAGGCGAAAATTTCAGCACCCAGAATAAGATGTGACCTGGCCGATTGGCTTTCATCTGCGATTTAAATTTTTAGGAGTGACGTCAGATAAGTACGCTAGATCTCGTTAGCCAACAGATCGAATTATATCCCGCTACATACACAGTGGGCACTAAGGCAAAAATCGAAGTTTATAATTAGCTTACAAGTATTTGCATGGCCTCATTCGGGAGCCGCATACCATACGAGCTAAATTGGGGACGTATTACTCTTCATAGGAACGCACCTCAAAACTTTCGTGATTTTAAACACTCCATATTTTTGCATTGACCAATGCAAGACTGATTTTGCGGCGCCACACGAAGCATTACTAATTTGAAATAAGTTTGGTCATTGAGCCATCCAAACTGAGTCATACCTACATGATGAAATTGGATCAAGCATGCAAGCAATTGAATTTCATTGTGAAATTTCGCCATCTTTATGGCCACAGAAAATAAAAGCAATCTCTTCATTTAGTCATTTGAAAAAATGCCAATTGAGCCGCTTTTGATGACTCAGTAGTTTATTAAAAAAAACACCAAAAACAACAAGCGTTTCACCCTAATTCTTGGCGGGCTAATTCTCACAAATTGTTACCAGCACTTTGCCTTTGGCGCGTACGCGTACGCATACATATCGAAATTATGCAACGCTTTACATACTTGCGTACATACATACGTACATACGTATATGTATGTATATTAACATGCCGGCATTAAATAAAGATACGGAAGCAATTGCGGTTAACAATGTAACAATGAAGTCTTGCTAAAACTCAACAATAAAGCAAAAACAAAAAAAAAACAAAAACAAAAACAATATATATGCCGAATTATCGAACAGAGAGAACACAGAATGGTTGGGTGGAGTCAACAGCAATGCCAAAATAAATCGTTATTTTTAACTGCAACACAGCAACAGAAACAGAACGGCAAGGCAAAGCACAGCAGCTGCGAAAAATGGAAAGTCCCCCATCATTGCAATAACAAAGTGTGTGTGTATGTATTTACTTAGATAGCGGGGAAAGTTTTATTCGGCTAATTGGCGGGAGCGCTAAAAATCTGCAATAACTTTTAGCCATGATTGGGTCTTTTGGTGCTTTGCACTTGATTAACAGCTAGTAGGCACCAATGTCACTTACCGTTAACTGCATTTTGTTTGATTTGAAGTTTAAATAACTGCTTAGCGAATATATATTTTTTTTGGGCACAAATTGTTCAAACACACTGGCTATGCGTTGCTGTCGGTTGCTATTTCAAATAGTTATGCACCGTTTTGGTTGGTAATTTTATTCGCACAAAAGTTTTTACATTAAATTTTTTCGGCGCTCGAAACTACAATATTTCGAGCTTTTAATGTCTCTCAACTATTTTTTTGGTTTTTTTTTTTTTAATCTTGAATTAATTTTGAATTTTGAATCAACACTTAGCTAAGAATTAGCAAAACATTTCGCTTATGCTCAAATTCACTTTTGTTCACACAACCCGTAATCCCACCAATGTATGTCTCGGTTTTCGCTTGCTGTTCTTCGCACTTCTTAATTGTGTTTTAGTCAAAGTCGCCGCGTTGTGTTGCGTTGTGTTTCATAATTAAAATATCGAGTGGAAATGAAAGCATTAATTTCAATTGATTCATTTATATATTCGGCGAGTCGGCGACGACAGGTATCGAAAGAAAGGATCGCCGCAACGCGATCACACAACTACACATACATATGTATGTACGAGCACAACCACTGCGATGAAATCAAAGCAACAAATACAGCATTTCGTTTAGCGTACAAAATTGTTGAGCATCATTTGTGCCATTTGTGGGCCATTTGAGCCATTTGAGCAAGCGGCGCTCACAATTGAAGAGCGTAACATGTCATTAATTGAGCAATTAAAGCTCAGATTTCGGGAGGTAAATTCGTTTGCTGAAGATTCTTGTTGTTGTATCAAGGTGTGTGTGTGTGTGTGTGTGTGTGTGTGTGTGTACAACAAACAGTTATTTTGATTGATTGTGAGATTAACAGCGCAAGCAAGTGACGAACGTAAAACGAACGAACGCACGTTCGAATTAATTAATACTCGTATCAAAATATGTTCACAGATAGCAACAACAAAAGGCTAACAAATAATTCAGGTGGGAGTAGGAAGCTATTAGACAGTTCATAAATCAAACAATGCGACATCTATATCCGTTGCTAGTATTGTCAGCATGTTTTCAGATAAGAAAACTAGCTACATTTACGGTTTTATGTTTTTTAGTGTTTTTTTTTTTTGTTTTAATTTCTGCGTTTCGCGCAAATTTTGTGCAAGCGCGAAAAATTAGCTATTTTTAGGTTGTTTAATGAATTAGAAACATTTGGTATGCGGTAGGTAGTAATTGAACGTGAGCAAGCATTTTATTTATTGAGCGGACAATTAAGGTATTTTTTATGCACGTAGGCAATGCTAATGTGATTAATTTTTTATTAATTCTAAAAGAAAATATACTAAATAATTTGGCTTACTATTATTAATTTATTTATTTATTTTTTTAATATCTGGCGAACTTTTTTGGGGCTAGAGGTCTAAAGCTCGTCGAAAACTGAGCTTTGACAAAAAAAAAGTAGGAGTTCTTTAAAGAGAGCAACCGGCCTAGGTTGTGCCTGGACTTATTTGCTCTGTACGGTTTTACACTGAAGGATACATACATATGTATGTATGTATTAGCCAACAAGATCGACAGAGGCATGTTAGCAAAGCAATTCACAAATGACTCGAAACAGGCAGGCTGAGGTAGCACTCAGTCAATCCAAGGTTAAATGAAGGTCCCACTTCCCCCACTAAATGAAATACAGCCGGTAGCTCCCAGTCCCGTAACGGCTCTCTGTGGCGGCAGGGTAATCGGTGGATACCAAAGGAAACCGAAAGAGACTAGCTGACACGCTTTGGCTGTGAAGACCGGGAGATGTTGCTGGGGAGAGCGGTAATGCTTAAGAACATGGTCGAGCTTCAAGGGAAGGCACGAAGTGTCAGTGTTGCCAGGTCATAGAAGTGAGAAATCGTCATTTGCATGCAAAAATCGTCGCCCTTTTTATAAACAGAACCAGGAAGCTCTTTCGGTTTTTTTTTCATTTTATTTTAGCTTCTGATTGCTATGCGTAAAAACAATAAAAAGTTTTACATTTTTACGAATTTTTTAAATAAAACTGGTCATACTTATAAGTTTTGCTAAAGAACTTATTCATAATTCCCTTCGTTCAATAAAATATAAACACAACCTCACAACGAAAAAATTACGAATTTGACCGCCAAAAACTACACAAGTAGTGATGAAACAAAGAAGAAAACTACTTATCGATAACTACTATTAGTGCTGCCACATGATATATTTTCGATACCACAGTTATGTATTAACAGAAATGGTAAACTCCCAATAGGTGTTTAAACTGCAATTTTTAGTTGTCTGTGTAACTATCTTCAAAGTTGAGAACTAGCCAAATTTGCACATAAATAAAAATCGTCATTCTTCTTATTTGGCACTACTATAAAAATCGTCATTGAGTCACAAAAATCGTTAAATCGTCATGGCAGTAAAAAGTCTTCAAAATGATGACCAAATCGTCAACCTGACAACACTGACCTATGTGACCAACATAAATTTTGTCCGCCTCAGTTTGCCGGCTCTATTAAACCAATAATTAAAATGGTGAATTTTTTTTTGCATTTTCTTTTGCTTCATAATTTTTTTTAAAGAAGATGAGTTCGAAAGCGAATGCGTAGAGTAATACCAAAACGAAGCCAAAGGCAAATATGATTACGAAAAAACTTTGAAGAGCAACCGAAAACGAATTCCATATGCGACGACTAAGATGAACACGAAAACGAATAAAAAAGCAGAGACGAATAGGAAGACCAATACTAATACGAAGACAAATACGAATACGAACACTTATTCGAACATGAATATGAAGACGAACGACGAATACGAATAAGAAGACGAGGTACGAAGACAGACACTAACACGAAGATAAATGCAGATATGAAGAATACGACGACGAAGTCGAAGCTGAATGCAGAGAATAATATGACGAATAATGAGAAGTGGAATACGAATAATAATGCGGACGCATTCTGAAGACAGCGACTAAAATGAACATGATGGTGAATGCGAAAACTAATACGTATACGTATTAGGGTGATTGACTCGGTTTTTCCAAACCGGTTTCCACCGTTTTTTTTTAGATATCTATACGCGTTTTTTTTCATTTCATACAAATCTTGACCTCACAATAAAAGTTTTAGTTTCAAAATTATATCCTAAAATTAAATAAATTTGATTCCAATAAATGAATGTTTGGCGCTTAAATGTTTTCTACGTGTTCCAATTCAAGTTCTGCTTGTTGATGTTGTAACACAAATGGAGAGATCTACACTTCTACTCCACCTCCGAAGAAAATTTTTTTATGGCAGAAGTACACTCGGAGGTTTGTCATTGCCTGCAATAGGCACATCTAACCACTCAGTTACGGCGGCATGAAAACTGTATAAAATAAAATCGATTTAAGAGGGTTTTTCTTAATTTCAAAATCGGGAACCGGTTTTTTTTAAACTGCAATTTTTCGAATAACTCAACAACTGAATTGGGAAAAAGACGAATAAGCGAACACCCTAATACGTGTAATACTCAGAGAATGAAAAATTTTCGGAACCCTAAAAAAAACTAGAAAAGCGGGCGAATTTCGGCAGTAACTAGCACTTCTTGTAAGAAATTAAAATTCTTTTTTTTTTCTACAATAAAAGCATCAAAAAGGCTGCAATTATGCTAATTATGTCCTGGGTAGTTACAAAGAAGAACTGCATCCAACTTAACAACCAACCTCTGCGAGTTAAATTATTTTTACTCTCACGCAGCGATTAGTAATTAGCGTAGTGGTTACCCTTCCAGTTCCATATATCTGGTCGACAATGTACGGATAATTCTATTGATCTGATAGGCCGATTGAAGCCGAGGAAATCAAAAGAAACTTAAAGATTGTACGAATGAATAAAGTAACCCCCATCTGAACCACATTGTTCACTTTTTTATTTGCTTTCGAATCTTAAAAATGTTATAAATAGAAACGGGCTTGCCAAATAATTTTTTTTTTGTTAATATTTAAATCTGTATTATCATAAGTCCCGCCACATTACTCCTACTACAATTCACCTGGACTTCGGTGGCCTCCACAAACCAGTCGGCACCTTACTTCAGACACATGTTTCCCAAAGTTCAGTGAACCTACTATTTGCACCCATATATTTGCATATGTATGCGTGTGCATTCTTAATGCAATTAGCTATACTTAACAAGCAATCATAAAACAATAAAATATGTTTCTTAATTGAAAAGCCAGAGTTTCGCCTTTGTCGGGATCCGCTGGCATTGAGCCAGTTTTGGTCTATGCCGGTTAAGGAATGCAAGAATTGTATTTGTATGAAAGCGCACATTTCTTTGAACATTCCAGTTTGAATTTGAATTCCGGTCATTACAAAAAAAAAAAACAAAATCAAATATATAATACTAATAAAAATGAAACCGATGCTAATCAATTGCAAGTCGCTTGTATCACCTGACGCTAAAAAGTAAAAATGAATTTATCGCTTTTAATATATTTAGAAGCGTGCATTTTAATCAAAGACATACAGTGGCGGTCAAAAATGGATGAATGGTGTTTCGTTTTAAATATTCGCAATGTTTTTCAAGCTAAAATTTTTTTGATATTTTTTATAAGAATATGGTTTAAGCTTTAACAAAAACTGTATAAATCACACTTTCAAACTTTATGCAGAACCTAGAAAAATTCCACACATTTTTATCTAAATTTCGTGCAAGTGCTTAAAATTCGCATTGATTTTTAATATTTTTTTTTTTTGACGGCGGCTTTCACCGTTTTTTTTCATATAAATAGCGAAATTTAGGAAAACTGGCGTTGACTATTTTTGTTTTTTTTTTTTGCAAACGGCGCATATTCTTCCATATGAAATTCAAGTTTATATGGAAAAAAGTGCCAAACGCTCTCAACAAAAAAAAAATTATTCAAAGCGATTTTTCAGCTGCGCAAAACTTGCGCTTATTTCACTAGAATTTTATAAGATTTTTAAAAATTCTGCTTAAAAAGCTCGAAATTCAGATAAAAATTTGTGG